CCCCCCCCCCCCTCTCTTTCCTTAACTCTTCTGTTTGTTTATTTACCAATGAAACTTGAAAAGAAAAAGAGTTGCCAGCTTCAGTGTTGCTTCTATCTTTTGGGTTTTGGGAGATAAAGGGATAAATATACATTGTGTGGGACTTATGGTTTAAAACTTTTACTACTGTGAGTATGTATAAGGTGTCAAGTTCATGTTATCACTAAAACTCAATGGTTAAAATTATAAAAATAAACCTTGAATATTTTTATCAGTGTCTTCGACTTCAAAAAAAGCATGCACTTCGAACAATGAATAAGCAATCGCTTCTTTGGATGTGAGTTTAGAAGTTGAAAAGAAAAATAAAGAGGAGGTAACGGAGATCCATTTTCTGTTTATCCTCGAATTCTTTGTTTGTTAGGAAAATAAATATATGACATTTGCAAGTGATGCCAAATATCAGTACAGTTCCTAAAGAAATTAAATAAGAATTCTTTCGTATGGTTGATTCTTTGAAAATTGAAAGCCAATTTTCCTTTTGGAAATTTCTGTCCATGGACCTTTAAACAGTATATCTGAATGATATTGAATTTGAGTGTTAGGATTACTTTGTCATTGTTGTTTATTTGATGTTGAAACTAATGAAGTTAATCGTAATTTTGGTGTTATAAGTACTATCCTATTTATCCTGTAAATTTTGCATTTTCTGTAAATTGTGTGTTTTACTTCAAACAAGTGTGCCCAGGAGGAATGTTGCCTTTTTATTTTTCGCTTTTTGCTTTTAAGAACACTGACTTTAATTTCTCACTTTTTTCGTTCTAGATGGTATTGAGATGGATGTTTTATTAGGTTATACCCTATTCATTATAAGGCTATTCTCAAAATGTTGCAATGGAGGAAAAAAAAATCATATTTTTATGTATCAAGATAAGTGTTTTAATTTTTGCATCCACTTGTAGGAGAAATCCCTAGAAGTCCTGCGAGCAAATAACAACAACAACAATAACAAACTAAGTGAAATATCATAAGTGAGGTCCGGGGATAGTGTGTACGCAGACCTTATCTCTACCCTAGGGAAGACAGACTATTTCTGAAAGACTCTCGGCAAGGAGTCGTGCGAGCAATGGCAAAGAAATTGGCATCTATTGCAGCTCAATTGTTGCTAGAGGGATTACCTGAAGCAATGGTACTTGAGGTTCTGTTATGGCTGCCATTGAAGTCTCTATATCGATGTAAGTGCATCTCCAAGACCTGGTACTCAATCATCTCTGACCCCGAATTCATGAAACTGCATCACGTTCGCAACTTGAGCATTGTCATCTCCATTGTGTCTTCGGATTCTTTTAGATCGCGCTTGTTGCAAGCAAGGCTCTTCCCTGAGGAGAAGACCATTGGGTGGGAAGGTGAACCTCCTTTCTGTTGAGGTTTTTGTTATTTAAGATGAAATAGTCTTAAAATGAGGGTGAATGGGAAATGGAGGAAAAATAAAATTTTTGAGTAAAATTTTAAGTTTTCCCCTCTTGACAATGAGACATTGTCCCATATTGGAAGAGGAAAAGATTTTTGGTGGGTATATATATATAATTGCTCTTCTTGTAGCTCTTAAAGAGTTAAGAAGAAAGCAAGCCTCGCGCCGTCGTCGTCGTCGCTCGCTCGGCTTCGGCTTCGGAGCAATAGCAGCCGCCTAATGCTCTTCCCACCATGGCCAAGTGCTTGCTCCACAAACAAGCTAGTGCATGCTCCACCATGGAGGGTGGAGGGTCGTTCATCTTCAAAGCTGACTGCTATAAATATGTGCAGCAGCTGTTGAAGAAAGACACCAGAAACTGAAAACGCTCAACTTTGGCTATACATTGCACTCCTTCCTCTCAG